TGTGCAAATATGGTAATATAGCCAGGAAAGCAGTTTAGCCGTAATTAAGACATGGATGGGAAGGTTAAAGTGGCGCCAACTAGAAAGGTAACTTTAGTATTAATTATATAACAATGATGCCGATTGTGGCGATCACCATCATTATGATTCACCTCATACCTCAAGCTCTCAAAAGAAGCTGGGTGATTTGATGAGGACATTGTGTGGGTGCCCCGTAAAAAGTGAGCGAAGGAAAGGGGGCAATGCCACTCTAAATGCCTATATTGCCCAGTTCCATCTGGAACAGTCCCCCCCCCCCCCCGCTTCTATAATTGTATATGCTGTTGCTGTAATCCGCCCTGGGACCTTATGGTGAAGGGCAGGTAAGAAATACTACAAATAAGTAAGTAAGTGGAAGCCCCTGAAGGTCTCCCCCCCACCCCAGTTAATTCCACACACCCCAAATCTACCATGGCGCAGAGACTGTTCTTTGTGCTGCACAGTGATCTGTATTTAAATATTCTCACACCTGGGACCATGACCCTTGCTCCTCAGTTGTTTAATAAGGAAACAGTTGCTGTGTTGTTTTGAGCTTTAGGGAATTCGAAAGAAGTCCCAGATAGGGAGCAGCACTGCAGGGCTGCCATCTGGGCAGGGTTTTTTTTTGGGGGGGGGTGTTTAACTAGCCAGGCTGGTTTTGTAATGCCCTGTCTCAGGGACAGCCTGCCCCCTTTTGCTTGCTTTTCTGTGAGGAGAAAATAAAAGGGAACTGGAGATCACGCTAGATAGGAACCCCCTCCCCCTCCCCTTATTATCGCCACCAGCATGTGCTGCCACAACAAGATTAAAATGATTGCACCATCATTTGTTTCATATTTAATAAACAATTGGGTAGCAGATTTCCCAGCAAGCCTTGCCTATCAATCAAACTCGCACAAAGTCCCCCTTCGAGCCTGCACTTCCGAAAAGAAAGAAAACAAAATTGGACTAATTTATTATTCATTCGTTCATTAAGTCTGTATTAACCAGATATATTATAAAAGAAAACAGAATTATGCCTTTTGATCAGGGAACTCTCTCTCATGAATATTCATGGTGCCCCCCCTCCTTGCCCCCACCGCCTCTCATTTGCACACGCTGAGTCTATTGTGAGGCACTGGTGCGTCATTCAGGCACCTCTGACAAAGCCAATATGCAGCACTGATCTACATGATATTTGGGGGTGGGGGTGGGAATAAGAATGTCTTCCCCAAGGCCAGCTTGCACCATTCAGTGTCGCCTGCACAAGCTGTTAGTCGGTTGGGAACTCTTCCTGCGGATGACACATTTGAGAGTGTCGGGCCAGAAAGCCCGGAGCAGATCTGTGGGGTGCTTTTCTTGGCCTCTTCTCTTTGTTGTTCTGTTTGATTCCTGCTGGTGCCTCACAGGTATGAAAAGCAGCAGGATTCAAATCTCACCTGTGTTTATTTGCTTCCAAGGAAGGCGATGGTGGCACACACAAAAATCTCTTTTTCCTTTAGCCTGGAGCTGGCTTCCTTCAAAATGGCGCTGTACCAAGTTAAGGACACAACACAGGCTGCCTCTTTTTAGAGGTTTGCCCTCATAAAATACTACAAAATGGAATGCTCTGCGCTTTTGGTCCTAAGGGACTCCAGCGTTAACCAAACAATGAAACCGTTTCAAACACTGCAGCATAGCTACATCAGTCAAAAGGGAAAACACCACACTAAATATAAGGCTGTGTATCAGTCCAGAAGCAGAGTTAACCATGTTAACTCTCTCCAGAAGCTTTTGTGAAGAGCCGAGTTTTGAGCGCATTGAGCCAGGAGGGCCTCACTTGGTAGGGCATCCCACTAGGGATAGTATAAGGAATCTATTTTAGATGGATTTATATTCAGAATTTTGTGGTCCCAACTCAATGGAACTTTGCCCTCATTGGGCCATCTCTCACATCAAGTGCCTGCTTGTTTCCATGCTGCTCATGCATTGTTGGTTTCCCTAATAACACACCCAAGGAATTACATGCAAAATCATACATAAACATAGGGGCAAAGCTAGGCTTTATTTCACCTGGTTCAAAGACCCAGTTTGGCACACATACCCCATGCGCATTTACACACACACACAGGCCTCAATGGCACCCCTGTGACACCTTAGGAAACCTGGAATGTATATGTGTATAATATGATATGTATAATAATGTACATAATAGTACATTTAATATGTGAGATCTTTCATATTTTTAGTGCAACCACTTAAAAAAAAAAGAACACTTCACATCTCATCGAGATCAAGGGAGGAAGATGAGAATTTAAAAAACCACACACTTGAATATACAAACTTGATGTTGAGATTTTTAGAAAATCCGGGCCCTGTTCCTCACCCACCTTACCCTTGAAGGTGGGGGAACAAGGAGCAGATATTGACCAAAGTAGAAAGAGCTTCAGCTAGTGCACAAACTTGATGATCATCAGAGAATTCACAGAGGAAACCATATGAATGTTCTCTCTGTGTGGAAAAAGCCTCCTTCACTTACTTCCCATCAAGAAATTCACATGAGGCGAACTCTGTGAATCAAATAAATGCTGGGAGCGTGGAAAGAAATTCAGTTGGTACTTGTATCTTCATACCAAACAATTCAAGCTTAGAAGGCGGCCTATAAACAGCAAGGCTCAAATAACTGCTCCGTTTTAGTGAACTATTGATTAATGTGTATTTTTTGTATGGCTGTTCTTATGGATTTAACTTTCTGGGCTTTGCTTCTCTTAGGTAATGAGGTTTTAGGATTTTTTTTATTGTATCTTGATTGTGGTTTTTTGTATTTTTTTATTTTCCTTTCCTTCCATTCATCCAACATTTCCCTTTTTCCCTTGTTATAAACAGTCTTGAACTTTTTGGAAGAGCAAGATATAAATGTTTTGAATAGATAAGTGGAGAAAGGCCACCTTCAGATATCCTTGCCTGAGATTGTTTATGGCTTTATAAAGGTTAGGACCAGCACTTTTAATTTAGCCTGGAAACAAATTTGTAACCAATTCAATTAGAACAATATCAGGAGTTAATATGCTCCATGCAGTGAACCCCAGTTAGATGTCTGGCTGCTTACATTTCGGACCAATTTAAGTTTCGGGGCACATTTAAAGAACAGTGAGAGATCCATAAACATTGTCAAGCTGTAAATTTAGCAGCATGAGGAAGATGAATTAATTAATTCAGGGTGGGAGAGTAACCTACCTGGTGACTTTTACATCCATTTGATTAGAGTTATTTTGACATTCAGTTTTGTATCTAATGCAAGTCCTACTCAGAGTAAACCCATCAAAATTAATAACCATGACTAGTTTGGGCGCATTACCATCAAAGGGCCTACTCTGGGTAGGATTTAGTTAGATACAGCCCTCAAGTGTTTTTTTTAACCACCTCACTATTAGGACAAAATCCGTTTTAATTGTTCATGCTGTAACATAGGTCAATATTCATGTACAGTGGTACCTCAGGTTACATACGCTTCAGGTTACATACGCTTCAGGTTACAGACTCCGCTAACCCAGAAATAGTACCTCGGGTTAAGAACTTTGCTTCAGGATGAGAACAAAAATCATGCTCTGGCGGCGCGGCAGCAGCAGGAGGCCCGATAAGCTAAAGTGGTGCTTTAGGTTAAGAACAGTTTGAGGTTAAGAACGGACCTCCGGAACGAATTAAGTACTTAACCTGAGGTACCACTGCACAGTGGTACATTGGTTCTCAAACTTAATCCGTTCTGGAAGTTCATTCCAAAACCAAAGTGTTCCAAAACCAAGGCGTGCTTTCCCATAGAAAGTAATGTAAAATGGATTAATCTGTTCCAGACTTTTAAAAGCAACGCCTAAAACAGCAATTTAACATGAATTTTACTATCTAATGAGACTACTGATCCAGAAAATGAAAGCAATAATCAATGTACTGTACTATAAAATAAATAAGACAGTCTTGAAGATGATAAAAAAAATTTTTTTCCCTTACTTGCCCTGATGATAGTGATTGTTTGGATGGGGGGCTTTTATCCATTTCCGCAGTCACACCATCAATCAATCAGTAGCTGAACTGGGTTCCACACAGTCACAAAAACAAATTAATTGAAAAAGCCTCAAAAACAAAAACTCAAAATAAATAGCAAAAAAAGAAAAAGAAAAGAAAAAGCAGCAAACTTAATCTGTTCCGGAAGTCTGTTTGACTTCCGAAATGTTCAAAAACCAAGGCGCAGCTTCTGGTGTTGTAGGTGCCCTGGAAACAGTAGCCAACAGCCTCATCAGATGTTCAGCTTCCAAAAAACATTTGAAAACTGGAACACTTCTGGTTATTCAGCGTTTGGGAACCAAGGCATTTGAGTACCAAGGGGTTTGAGAACCAAGGTACCACTGTACCCATAAATTAAGAATGGCCATTTCCTTTCTACTGGGACTTCTGGACACCTGTTGGCCCTCTGGTGATTGATGCTAGTAAATGGGAATAAAAAATAATGTTTCTAGTAATGCCAGCCTCCAATTCAAGAGAGAAAGAAGCAGTCAGCACATGCCCACCCCTTTAAAAAATAACCAAACGAAACCAAATTACTACCTGAAATTTCACCAGCCAGCTCTTGGGGAGTGAGGAGGGAACTGTGTCTGGGAGACTGGAATCAGTTCCGTTTCACCACTGAAAGAGCTGATTGGAAAGGTTTTGGCTTATTTACAGTATAAAAGGGCTGCACATGCACAGTCCCAGCACCTAGGATTCAATGAAATGTGTCACTGGACATGTAAAGTGCAACCTTCCCCACGACATTCCACACGATGGTTGTCTCATTTAAACTGCCTTGTCTCACTTCTTCATGCAGCATGAGCGCAGCAGGGCTTCGTGGCCTAAGTTCATGGCCACTTGGAGGAGAACGCTGCATGGGGAACACTGCGTGTTTCTTATATAGAATCATAGAATTGTAGAGTTGGAAGGGACCACAAGGGTCATTGTCATCTGGTCCACACCCCTGCAATGCAGGAATCTTTTGCCCAACATGGGGCTATAACCCACGACCCTGAGATTAAGAGTTTCGTGCTCTACCAACTGAGCATTTAAATTAAGCCTTGGATTGAGTTGGGGAATTGTAAAGCTATGTTCTATCTAACAAGATCATGCTATCATGCACAGATCTGTTGTACCCATGGGCATAGAGAGGATTTTTGTTGGATGGGGGGCAGGCCTTTTGTTTGGAGGGTAAAACCTAAGTTTGCTTTGTTTTATAGATTTTTATTGATGGGGGGGCAGCTGCCCCTCTGCCCCCTGGCTATGCCCATGGTTCTACCCTCTCCTCCATGACATGAACCATGGTTATCTGTTCCTTCCTCTACAGGAGAGGAAGGGAAACAACATCATACTGAGCCCTCTCAACCAATTGCATTTCTATGGTCTGAGTAAAAGTAAAAGGTAAAGGACCCCTGGAAGGTTTAGTCCAGTCAATGGCTACTATGGGGTTGCAGCACTCATCTCGCTTTTCAGGCTGAGGGAGCCGGCATTTGTCCACAGACAGCTTTCCGGGTCATGTGGCCAGCATGACTAAGCCGCTTCTGGCGAAACGGTACACCATGATGGAAGCCAGAGAGCAAAGAAACGCTGTTTACCTTCCTGCCACAGTGGCACCTGTTTATCAACTTGGTATGCTTTCAAACTGCTAGGATGGCAGGACCTGGGACAGAGCAACGGGAGCTCACCTCATCACGTGGATTTGAACCGCCGACCTTCTGATCAGCAAACCCAAGAGGCTCAGTGGTTGAGACCACAGCGTCACCTATGTCCCTTATGGTCTGAGTATCTGCCTATCAGCAGTACAGCTCTGTGGACTTAGTTCCTAATCTCCTACAAAAAGCAAGCAAGGGAAGTGGGAAGCAGGGATGGTGAAGGACCTAGGGTATAGACATGGCTGGACAGAGAGGCTGGCTAGCAGGCTGCATTTGGCCCCTGGGACTGAGGTTCTCCACTTCTAGTGTAACCCCACCCCACCTTCCTTGTTATTTCCCTCAACATCATCTCCTTAGAGTCTTCATAAACCACCACTGCCTTTCAGAAAGAATCTTATGTGTTTTTTATTGTTGTTATTTTCACTTATTGCCACCCATAAATTATAAATTATAAATATTTCAAATAAATGAATTCAAGAATTCTGGATAAACTCCCCCAGTGGTTTCATGTAGATGTTAAACAGCACGGCAGACAAGATTTGAGTCCTCCAGGACACCATAAGCCAAAGGCCAAGACACTGAGTAGACGTCCTCTGCCCCGTGTACCACCTTTTGGAATTTGCCTGCTAGTTAGGACCAGAGCTGCTGTCATATGCTGCCCCCAAACCCCATCCCAGCAGGATGATCCAAGAGTTCCATGTTGGCTGATGCCCAAAGATGCTGAGAGGTTCAGCAGAATCAACACACCCCATCCAGCTCTCTAGTGGCCCAGGAATGAAATATTAATATATGTAGTAGTTGTCCAATATGGTGGGGATTAGAGACAACTCTTTTAGCAGAAGATGAGGTACTGAAGTTTTCTGACTGGATGGTGCCTCTCCCCCTCCTAGGGAAGCATTAATAATCCTCTGTGCGCATCCCCGCCGCATCTCTGGATGCTGTAAGTGGCTGAGACTGGAGCAAGGGTCAAGTGCACAAGTGGTTGACTTCCAAGAAGCCTATTCACATCCACGGGCTGCATGAGCTGAAAATAATCCGTAACAGGGCAGGCAGCTGCAGAATGCATGTCAATTGGCTCTGTCAACTTGGAGTCCAAGTCAGCACGGATGCGAGAGACTTTGCCTGCAAAATGTCTTAGAAATTGGTCACAGCGGGTTACCGAGGTGCAGACATAATGAGAAATATCCGTAGACATTCCTAACCATGGTTAAGGCTAGCTTAGGAAGGCTGGGTGGAATTTGCACTTGAGAGCGGAGGGCCTGGGAGATGGGTTCCCAGTAATGCAGCCTGCACCCTTAATCATCTGAAAGGAATGGGCATTATCACCTCTGCCCCTCAGTGGGGCTAGTTTCCAAGTAAACATGTCTAAGATTGGGCTGTCAGTCTGAATTTCCTTTTATACAAGAAAACAGAATTGTGCCTTTTGATAAGGAAATTCTCTGACTATGAATATTCATTCTGGCTAGTATTACCATACCGTCCAATATGGGAGACTCCTTTGCTGGAATCTAGACATGCCACTTACGTATTAGCTAGCCTGAATTCTAACTTTCAATTGTGCTTTTTTAAAAAGCTAGCTTTTACAGTTTAAGATGTAAGGGGAGAGGTGCAATCAGTATTCTGCCTTACATGTTATTCAGTAAGAATTAGGCTTGCCTACCTTCCAGAATTCAAGTCAATGAGTGGGAGCCACGGTCGTGATTGACATATGAAAAATGCAGCAATATCTTCCTATATATTTCCGTGCTTTGAATGGACTGGCCAATTATGAAGCAGGATTTGTACCTTGTCAATTATTATAAGAGGAAAACCATTGCTTTACCTGTTTGGCTAGAATGGTAGAGGGAACACTCTTTTGGCTTATTGTAAAAGTTCTAACCTTCTTTCCTCCTCCAATTCAGATGCTCAGAGCAGCTAACATCAAATCATATAAAACAACGCAACAATAATCAAATGATTAAAAACAGCAAAAGCATTAACAGGGGTGGCATAAATATTCTCTGGAGAGAGTGAGAGAGAGAGAGAGAGAGAGAGAGAGAGAGAAGTTGCTTCATGTGTATTGTAAAGACATATCTTTTGGCCAGGCTTCTGCATTATTTCATTTCTTCATTATTACATTTGCAGACTGCTATTTGTTTTTGGAAGGGGATAGGAACAGCTCATCACAAAGTCTAAATCAAAACAACTATTTTGTAATTATTTTTTTCTTTTTTACTTAGCCCAGAATGAAACATTATTTTTTTGTCAGTATTCCATGAGATGTGTCAGGTTCACAAATATGCTGAAGTCCTGGGGAAATTCCATCTGTTCCTTTAAATTGCATATTAATGACTCTAAAGCAAAATCAGGCTTACAACTAGGGTGGCAGGCGAGGCAAGTGCACCAGTCAGGAATGCCTCATTGTGGAGCTTATCATGGGGCTGAATCGAATCCCACCCTGAACCAGAGTAGCACATGGGTGTGTCTATGTGGAAGTGCGTTCCACCCAGGGCTGCATAAATCCTGCTTAAACTGTCCTGAGTTAAGGCTCATTTGGGCAGAAGCCCACCTTGGCTCACTATTTTGTTATACTTCATAAAAAGCAATGGGCCCAGGTAAGGATATATTTCTTATTTCACTCTTTTCCAAACCTGTGATTGCATTTAGTTGTGCACAAGGTACAGGTTTCTATTGTATTTTGAAAGTGCTGTTACGTGTTCCTACCCTGAGGAGAAAGAAAGTATATGTTGCAGTATACAGACATAACTAAATCCCATCTCCTGGAAAAGTATTGGCCTGTGTCATGAGTCACATATGCCTGATTAAAATTGCATATCTATTTACTGTGTAAAAACAAAAATGAAAAAAGTTGGATTTCCTGGACTCAAGGAGGGGGATGGGTAAGGGAAGCTGAACAGGGAGAAAACATGGAAGAACGCAAGTGCTTTGTAAAAAGTGAATGAACCAAGTGTGGTTGTTCCACAGTAACTGTCCGGAGTAGAAACAGCCAGGAACAAGCTCAAGAGAGCTGTGGGTGAAGCCTGCCACTTGAGCTCTGTGTGTCTATTTATGACTCCTTGCTGATCTTCCATTTACTGATATACACAGACAAGGCATCACCAGCATATATAAAAATAGTATTACTCAATTACTGCAAATTCAAGTAAGAGTGGGCAGCATACCGCAGAAAGAGTTAGCAGCTGCTGATAGCGCTGCTTGTTATGCAGCTAACAACTTGAAGTTTTGGATCAACATGTTAGAAATTTGGATTTTATCTGCATTGCAGTTCTTTATGTTGGCAAATATACCCTTTCATTCTCAATATTCCATGGTGTTGACAGCTAAATTCTAGGCTGCAATGCTAAGCCTACTTACTTGGGACTCGTTTCTGGATAAACTAGATAATAACAGGCCTGTAAGATTGCAGTCGTAACCACACTTAACTCTGGAATATGATCTTGTTAAAATCCATTGGATTTAACTCAGTTTCACCTGCTGCGTACAAGGAGGACATGACATTTCATTCTAAACTCTACTTGGTAACAGATGTGTGTTCCTGGACCCAACTGCCAAGGGCTCAACACTCCAGGAAAACAAGGTTCTGCTCCCCACTGTCTTCTGTTTTCACAGTAATTGGGTAGGTGAGAAAAAAATAACTTCCAGAGCTTTCCCTCTCAGCAGTGATCTCAAACAATATAAAGTAGGTAGAACAAATAATTCCACTTCTTTCAGCCATGGATAAATCAGATTAGTGCCCCTGGTCCTTCTTCAACTTTGTATGACACTTCCCAGGAGCAGTAAAACAAAACTAAAAACTCCAACTAGTAAAAAAGAAAAAGAAAAACGGATGCCTGATTTGCAGAAATTGCACCAATATTAGTGGGTGGCCAACACTACTCAGAGTTCTTTCCTTTTGACCTTGGCATTTCAGAGCTTGATTATAGACAGATTTGGGAGCATGAGGTATGGAAACCCAAATTCTGAGAAAAGTTTATTCTTTCGACCTGTTATGCAGATACCATATGCTAATGATGATGATGTATATTCCAGCTTTTCCCCAGACAGGGACTCAAGGCTCACACAATTTAAAAGAAGACAAATCAAATATAAACAGTTAAAAACATATAAAAGATAATCATTAAAGCAATAATAAAACTGCAATAGAATCAAAACAATATCCAAAATCTATTCAAATACAGATAATAAAACAGTAACAACGGGACAGCACAGCACTATTAAAAGCCCTTTCCTTAAAAAACAGTCAGTTCCCAAAGGCCTGTCAGAATAAAAGTCTTCACCTGCCAGCAGAAGGCCTGCGTTTTTACATGCCAAAAGATCTCTGAACTGAATACACATTTTCAGATTCAGACACTGCAGCCAAAACTAGAATTTGAATGGATGCATGGAAATAGGACTGCAAGGATTCAGT